GTAAACACAAGTTAGAATTTCAAAGCGGTAGTAATTGATTAACACAGCGTGTATTTCAGCCGTAGCTATAGAATTATAAACACAAGTTAGAATTTCAAAGCGATTGTAATTGATTAACACAGCCTGTATTTCAGCCGTAGCTATAGAAGTATAAACACAAGTTAGAATTTCAAAGCGATCGTAGTTGTTTAACACAGCCTGTATTTCAGCCGTAGCTATAGAAGTATAAACACAAGTTAGAATTTCAAAGCGGTAGTAATTGACTAACACAGCCTGTATTTCATCCGTAGCTATAGAATTGTAAACACAAGTTAGAATTTCAAAGCGATAGTAATTGATTAACACAGCGTGGATTTCAGCCGTAGCTATAGAATTGTAAACACAAGTTAGAATTTTCAAAGCGATCGTAGTTGTTTAACACAGTCTGGATCTCAGCCGTAGCTATAGAAGTATAAACACAAGTTAGAATTTCAAAGCGATTGTAATTGATTAACACAGCCTGTATTTCAGCCGTAGCTATAGAATTGTAAACACAAGTTAGAATTTTCAAAGCGATCGTAGTTGCTTAACACAGTCTGGATCTCAGCCGTAGCTATAGAAGTATAAACACAAGTTAGAATTTCAAAGCGATAGTAATTGATTAACACAGCCTGTATTTCAACCGTAGCTATAGAAGTATAAACACAAGTTAGAATTTCAAAGCGATCGTAGTTGTTTAACACAGTCTGGATCTCAGCCGTAGCTATAGAATTGTAAACACAAGTTAGAATTTCAAACCGATAGTAATTGATTAACACAGCCTGTATTTCAGCCGCAGCTATAGAATTGTAAACACAAGTCAGATTTTCAAAGCGATAGTAATTGATTAACACAGCCTGTATTTCAGCCGTAGCTATAGAAGCATAAACACAAGTTAGAATTTCAAAGCGATAGTAATTGATTAACACAGCCTGTATTTCAGCCGTAGCTATAGAATTGTAAACACAAGTAAGAATTTCAAAGCGATAGTATTTGATTAACACAGCACAGCCTGGATTTCAGCCGTAGCTATAGAAGTGTAAACACAAGTTAGAATTTCAAAGCGATAGTAATTGATTAACACAGCCTATATTTCAGCCGTAGCTATAGAATTGTAAACACAAGTTAGAATTTTCAAAGCGATCGTAGTTGTTTAACACAGTCTGGATCTTAACCGTAGCTATAGAAGTATAAACACAAGTTAGAATTTCAAAGCGATAGTAATTGATTAACACAGCCTGTATTTCAGCCGTAGCTATAGAAGTATAAACACAAGTTAGAATTTCAAAGCGATCGTAGTTGTTTAACACAGTCTGGATCTCAGCCGTAGCTGTAGAATTGTAAACATAAGTTAGAATTTCAAAGCAATAGTAATTGATTAACACAGCCTGTATTTCAGCCGTAGCTATAGAATTGTAAACACAAATTAGAATTTCAAAGCGATAGTAATTGATTAACACAGCCTGGATTTCAGCCGTAGCTATAGAATTGTAAACACAAGTTAGAATTTCAAAGCGATAGTAATTGATTAACACAGCTGATTTCAGCGTAGCTATTGAATTGTAACACAGTTAGAATTTCACAAGCGAAGTATTGATTAACACAGCCTGTATTTCAGCCGTAGCTATAGAATTGTAAACACAAGTTAGAATTTTCAAAGCGATCGTAGTTGCTTAACACAGTCTGGATCTCAGCCGTAGCTATAGAAGTATAAACACAAGTTAGAATTTCAAAGCGATAGTAATTGATTAACACAGCCTGTATTTCAGCCGTAGCTATAGAAGTATAAACACAAGTTAGAATTTCACAGCGATCGTAGTTGTTTAACACAGTCTGGATCTCAGCCGTAGCTATAGAATTGTAAACACAAGTTAGAATTTCAAAGCGATAGTAATTGATTAACACAGCCTGTATTTCAGCCGCAGCTATAGAATTGTAAACACAAGTCAGATTTTCAAAGCGATAGTAATTGATTAACACAGCCTGTATTTCAGCCGTAGCTATAGAAGTATAAACACAAGTTAGAATTTCACAGCGATAGT